CGCTCCAATGGCCCAGTGGTTAGAGCATCCGCCTCGGATGCGGGAGGTCATGAGTTCAATCCCCGGTGGAGTGGTACTAACAGCTGCCTCGCTTGACGCTCAGCTTTAAGAGGTTAGTGTTAGGACTTGTCTGCCTGGTGTCAGTATAATGTGACTGGGTGAGACATCATGCTACATGTCTGCGGCATAATGCCCCTGTGCTAGACATAACTATAAACTGCCACGCTGCAGACATCGTAGCGATATGACTGAAAAATTGTTAAAGCTACGTTAAAAAATCATATACACCACACCAAATGTCAGAAGAAACTCTGTCTGTGAAAAGATATTCAAAGCTGACGTAAACACATATACATTGACAACAACACCAATTTGCCTCTACCATTTATTAATAGCAAACATATCCAATGTCTTAATTACGAAGTTTTATGTTATATTTCCAATAGGGTAATCTTTATGGAAATAATTACGGCATCTTACACAACAGATGTATAAACTGAAACCCTCCTAAACGGAAAAAGTGCAAAGCAGAACAAAATTGATAATAATGTAAATACATAACATATCTAATTATGTACCATTCAAATTAAATTAAGTTCTTGATTCTTCGAACATTGGTTATGAATTAAATAAGTGTTTGTTAAACATTAAGATAATAACATAAGCTGATTACTTCCATGGCACCGGCTGCACTCGTTGCTTCAGTCATACTCTGAGCCTATTGTAATGCTTATTTCCCCTGGATGTATGTAGGTGGAGTGGTACCATTGGTTAGTATCTACAACAACTGTAAATAAAGGATAACATGCATCAGCACACACTTGAGTTATAAACAGCCACTTGTCAAGTAAAGTGTTTCGGACGAGAGGAAGTTCTTTCAATAGAAAAGAAAGCTTAAGATTTTAGCAGCAAGGACAATTATAAAGTAATTCAAATATATATTAGATACTTCTCGTAGGCATAGTGGTGACGTATACAACACTTTTTAAAACTTCCTTTATTCTATATTAATGTTGGGCCCTTAATTTGATCTTAGGATCGATCTTTATCCTGAAGGCTTGCCAATTTTAAAACCTTACATGGAAAACATGCAGCGCCCTCCGCGGCACTCACTAATTATTTTTCATTTAGTCTTTTCAAAGTTTACACCACAAAAAGTCAAAAAACTTTGCAAACTATTATAAACGATTTCATACATATTAACAGATTTAAAACTGCCGTCTAAAGTTAATGACGTATCATCAGCAAATTGTGATAATAGTTGATCGCTATTGTGTATCCTAATATCCTTAATATTTAAATTTATTCTAATCATGTGGGTCAAAATCTCTGCGCCTACAATGAAAACATTTTTAGAGAAGGAATCACCATGTTTCAACCTCTTTGTATATTAAACGCTAATGAAAGAGTTAATTATTACACACGATTTATATATATAGTAGTATTAGAAAACCAGGTTTTCAACTCACTTTGTTTTTTTACCCTCCAAACAAGTATAAATTATAGTCCTAAATTATCCCCCACCCCACCCCCTTTTTTTCCAAAATAAAACAGGGTTTTGACTCACCCTCCCCCACCTCTTTTTTTCCCCCTACTACTACCTGTAAACAGGTATTTTGTAACCGAACAAAACAACAGGTGTTGGAATGCGATAAACTCTTTACACAGAGGTGACTAATTTGTTAGAACAGCGCATGTGTGGAATACAATTATTCTAAAGACGGCAAACGGGTTTTACCACAAGATAACAGGATGAAAATTAAACTGTGTTAGAACGTTTCAGTTAACAAGGTGGAAATTAAACTAGCATTAGAATGAAAATGATATTATTTTATATCTCGTTACCAATGATTAATGTTTCAACTGTTGATATTAAAAATATTTCACTATCACGACTATAGATACTAAATTTTACTTTACCACTCACACAGCGACGGGACTCAAACAGATCTTTCATTTCTGGTTTGTTCAGAGGATATTTTTTGTTGATAAAATATACCTTTGACCGATCGAGATCAATTGTGAGTTTAGTATAGTTTTGTTGGCTAATGGGGCTGTGAAAGTTTTTAAATTCCGTTAGCAACTTTTGATACAATTGTTCGAGATAATTGAAATACATGCTGTCATCAGATCTGATGAGCGAAAGTTTTAACTTGTCACATGTTCCATTAAAACATATACCTGATGTTTCATTATTAAATTCAACTGTCAATTGTTTACCATCCATCATTAGATATTTGATGTTACTATTGTAGCTATTTGTCATTGTCAAATTTTCAAGCATTATTTTATAAGTTTAGATAAAATTTCAGTTGGAAAAGATAATGTCGAGTATAGATCTATCATCATAACAATACCCAAGGGCAAATGTATCTACCCCATTTTCACAATAGCGTTTGTCATCAAAATTATACAATCCACGTTTGATAATGACATCTGTTTCGAGTTTATGATGATTAGTTCGAATTGCCATAGCTCTCATAAAACTAACACCACCATCAAGCGCATACCTGTAGTCATCAAATTTCATAAACTTTTTAACAAAATTACGAGGCAGACCTTTGGCTTTTTTCGTTATTTTATTATTATCTAACAATACGGCATACATTTTACTACGTAATCCGATAAAGTATTTGATAGCGCTCGAGTTCATTTCATCTTTAAACTTACCAATAACCTTTTTATTTGTGTCGTCATGAAATTTACTGTCACGTGGATAATCGGAAAGATCAAACAGATGTCGATTATTGTACATGTCCTGATAGATGTCCTCACATTCAATTTCATACACGAGTGAATCAGTATCAGTAAACAATAATCTACTAGCCGGCCACTGATTTTTAACAAAAGTGTAATGAAAATCGTACATCATCCACTTTGATAAATCTAACACTGCAGCTCCAACATAGATCGGCTTGTTTAGTTTTAGATTTGTTTTTCTTCTTTGTATCGCAACAAGATTTTCATTAAATATTTTCATGCTCACAAAATCATCGTCTGACACAAGTTTGTTTCTGCGATTGACATCATTAACTATTTCAATATTTACACGTTTCCTAATATTCTCCATCGTCTTACCAAAAACGGAATTGTTCATCAGTTTAAAGAAGTTTTTCTCAAACTCTGTTTTCGCTGCAGCTCTTCTTGAAGTGTTGGAGTTAATATAACCTCTCATCCACGGCGACTGATTAAATTTTAGTACACGATGAACTTTTCTCAACACAAGACCAGCATCGACTGCTTGTTTTAAAACTTTGTAATGCAAAACATAATTTTTCTTATCAAGTAAATTTGGTACTAGTTTCTTGACCATGGAATGTTGCCTTGGTGATGCTAACGCTTGTTGTTCTTTTGATAACAAACTATAATCTATAACCATCGATTCCGCACAGAAAGGGTAATCGTTATGTAATTTGTGTAGCGAATTTGGATAATCAAGATCAACTTCAACGAAATAGGAAACATCGTCAGGTATCTTTTTTTCTGTCTCTGATAGAAATCGATCAACCGTGATCCAATGAAATCCGCTAAAAGGCATTGGTTCTGCCATCGAACCACCGTAAAGATTATTACAATCTAGATAAATTATATACTTCGAAGGAAGGTCAGGGTTATACTGTTTCAGGTATTTGTTGTTTGCTTCAGCATATTTTTTTGTTATCACGCTAATACCACCTCGGATACCTTTTTCAATAAAATTGAACATATCAACATCAGTCAGTAATTCTAACCTTACCTTACTAAACTTTAGCAAAGCATCCCATGACAACCCAGGGGCAGAATAATACCAGCAAGGATCTAGTCCATAATTATTATAACTCACTTCACGAAAACTTTCAAAAACATCTGCTAATAATAACACGTCAGTTTTCAGGTATAAATCATGATAATCACCAAAAGTCTCACAATCAAACTCTTTCCAGATATCTTGTGCATACCTGTACTCGTCATCAGTTATATTTTCATTTTTAAGTTGTGAGTAAAATTTGTCTTTGTCAGGTAAAGATATTTCATCAAATTTACTCCAATCGTCGAGGTATTCGTATGGAAAAACTCCTTTTTTAGCTAGTAGATTAAATTTATCTCCAAAACAGTCTCTTAGGTTATCAAATTTACTACAACCTTTTACTAGCTCATCTAACGAGGCTGCCATAAACTGCAGGCTGTCAATAAAACGCAATTTACCTAGCGTAACTGACATGTACTTTTCAAAATTATTTGGATTCATTAGATGATTTTATCGAGTTTTAGACGAGCTTTTATCTCAGGATCACCAAAAGCTTCTACTATAATATGGCTATCATATCCTCGAAAATTGTGAAGAATAACCGGAATAAAATCTGGAGCATGAAATTTTAAATTACACTGATTATGAGCCGCTCCACGATACTGTCCAGTCAAATGACAATGGTCATGTACTTTTTTATCATCGTCAAAAGCTTTTTCACAAATATGACAAATTTCTGCTTGCTCGTGAGCGGATTCTTGTTGAGGTGTTAATTTTAACATTGGCGTTACTTTTTTCAAATGAGTAAATATATTATCAACTTCGTTAATCAACTGCTTGAGAAGCCAAACAGCTGGATTTTTACCACGATATAATTTGATTGATTTAGATAATCTAGAATCAGTACAACAAACTACCTTATACGCTACTCCACACGGAACATGATTTTGAACTTTTCTTGTACTCGATTGATTAGGATTATTTTCTACACCAAGTACAGGTTGAAGTAGGCATTCGAAATCAGCGTATATGACGAAAGGAATTTTTAGTTTGTGATTATGATGGACAAACTGTAACACACTATCTTTTTTAGATGGCATTGTTATTCTTTGCACATCACTACAGTACTGCAAATGCTTTTGCAATGTTTCATTGCTTGTACAGCCATGCAAGCAGCGGTAACAAAAGAACTTTTTGTTCTTATCCTTATTGTACTGTCTACCAACTAGTCCGTTAAAGTTTTTAATCCAAACATAATGATTTTTGTAGTACAGTAAATTTATAGTTGATTGTGAAGCTTTTTCTGAAATATATCTCGGATATACGTCCTCCTTTTCATCTAGTCCG